TTTGAAGATGCCATATGTGTTCCATAATTCCCAAGGATCTAAATATGAAACTGAACCATTAATTTTGTGATGTGTATTTGTGTTGAGTTCTTTTTATATGTTCAGTGGTAGTACTGCAATTGTTTATTATCTGAACAATGTGCAATGAAATGAATGTGATAATATAGGTATTTTGATGGAGAATAATTATTCATATACATTGTTTCAGACTTGTAACTATATACACAAACTACAGTAATAAATCCGGACTACAGCCTCAACGGAATTGTGCTGTTGGGAGAGAACCATCCCCGTTACAGATATGTACTTATCATCACTTTTATTACACTTAGGTATCTCACCACCGCGCTGTCGGACAGGGATATAAAGGAGTCGCTTTGTCTTATAGACGGGCGAGCTAATTTTGAATATGAAATGGTAACATGTACTTTTCATTGTAATATGGAGAATATGTCTATTATATAATTATGAATCCCTACTACAAACTCTGTAATATTATCCAAGTGAAACAATTGAAAAGGAATATTGTTCGTTATGAATGTATATATTGTTCAGTGTGATCATGCGTGACATGTCTTTCAGTTGTCTCCCTTTTCATAATATAATTGCTAACACTGAATCTGTGATATCACTGTGATAAAAACCATACTGTGATTCATATTTATGATTAAATGCGTACAGGGTATTTTCTGCTGCTAAAATAAACGGAGTCACACAATTTTTACTGTCCTTCGTCGACAGGTTTTTATAGTTCAGTTGCATGCCTGGTGCATAGAATGTCTATAGTAATACCAGTTGGCACTTATGGCAACGTTTTCAGCAAAACAATTAAGTTTTAGACCGTCCACGTTGTGGCCGCCCATAAGTACTGCCCCTGCGTCAATACCGATATATTCGAACCACACAATTCCATCACAGGTTCCAACCAACAACCCTTACAGAGCGTACCATAACTGGCAATAGAGGCGTGCATGCAAGACGCCAGCCAGACGTCCAACTCTGACACCAGAACATCGAGGTCAACGTCTCCAGTGGAGTAGACAACACTTGCAATGGGAAGCAGGTGGGTGGAGAAGAGTTTTTCACCGTCGAGTCACATTTTGTTTTCATCGAACTGACGGTGCTATGAATTATTTTGCAAATTACCGCTCTACTGTTTTTGCATCAGAACGACTCTGGAGTAATATTTCAACAGACCAACCACCAGTGTATGCAATAAAGCCCGTCCAACAGCCCGAGACGGGCTAGATTTCTGACGGACGGTCTAAATTTACAGCTAGCCAGCACGATGGTCTTGTAAAAATATCTTTAAATTATTCATTTTAACTAAACGAATTCTTTGGATTGTGTGGTCTGGATAAATCCATTTTGGGCTGGTAACATTTTGAAGTTACGCGGCCTGATGTGTGGCTGGGATTTTGGCCTATTTCATACACTGCAACCACACGTGGTTTTAGTTAGACAGCAGTATTTTAATCTGAACAATGTTTAAGTGTTACCCTGGCCCACAAGAGCACCTGATTTTGTACCCATTGAACACGTCTGGGATGAAATGGAGCAACGCTGACGACGTCATCCGAATCCACCAACATCGCAGCAGGAACTCAGCAAAATAGTATTCCACATTACTTTAATCGACAATTAGTGGCTTCAAAGGCGAAGGGTCCCTAGTATGGTGATCTACCTTCAGTTGTTGGCGACCTATAGCTCGTTTTTATATTGTATTGTCTTCGTAAATAAAATACATGTCCATGCTAGTTTTAGACTCCATCTGTGATACTCTAGTTATTTTACAGTCCTTCGATGACTAATTTTTAGTAACTTAAATTTATTGTTTACGTAAAACATTTCTCGTCACTATATGGCTGAAATATTGCCGATGTGACGTTGAATTTTTACTCACTCACTCACTCACTCAACGGCGAAGGCGAAGGTACCAGGTCTGAATGCTTGCGAACCCCCTCTTGTGTTGTGATTCCATATGCCAAGTGCTTTGTCCTTATGGGCTGTTCATCGTTACCAAACCTTGAAATATTTGTCTTTCCGTGTAAAAACAGTACAAGTACAGTGCAGCAGTACAAGTGTAACACTGATTCTGTTTGATGTTGTGAGTCCCAATAATTCTTATCCATGAGTATAAATATAAATGTGTAAGTTACATTGTACACAAACATTGCTGGGTGTTTTCAATGTTTCTTAATTTCCATCTGACATCAAAATGATAACTGTATGTAAAATAAATAGAATTTCTTTGGCAGGTACGAATATCTTAAATTTTAATATACATTGCACACTAATGTAAATGGCATTAATTTTCAATAATAAGATACAGTATTCATCAACAAATAAAGAAGCATTCAAACTATTGTCGTTTTTCAAAGTCCAAAAATATCTAAGTATGTTGGGCGTAAAAATAAATAAAATTACTTGTTCTGCGTATTGTGGTATTCGATTTTTCCTGGGACGTTTTTCAGCTTCAACATTGGATCACTTTCCTATACCTACATTCCTCTGAGAATCGTCACGTAAGATCTTATCTCCAAGTCCATATCTCAAGAGTTTTATGAATGCAGATACGTGCATTCCAACCTGATAAAACTGTCATATGTAAAAACGATGCCAAACATTTGAGTGACGCAGGGGTCGTACTCCAGAAATGTACGCCAGGTGTCTATCTGTATACATATTGACACCCAGGTCGAAATACAACTACAACAATGTACTTTTTCAACAATGTACATAGCACTGACTGTCCGTTTTCATTGGTCTCCCTTATTTCTTGTCTGACGTGGGTAAGTAGGTGGAAGAGAATTAAATCATCAGAAAACGATATCAGATTATCTATATGCTACAGTAAAGAGGTGTAATCAGTAAATATGTATATTTACTGAATTTTTCAGTGATTATGTATATTTACTGATTCCATCAGGGATTATGTATATTTACTGAAATTTTCAGGAAATATACATATTTACTGAACGCTACCCTGATTCATCTGATCAAGCCTGATTCATTCTACATATTTACTGAAATCAAGATCTGATCAAGAGGGAAATATAAACAAATATTTGTTTGCTTTTTCACTTTATCAATGAAGATGCATGGTTCCATATGAATCATGAGCTGGAGAAGTGGTAATTCGTATGTTTACATTTGTGAGAGCCTTCCCTCCTAATCTCCAGGATTAAAACAGGACCATGGTGGTATTTATAGGAATCATGAGCAGGAGATGGGATCTGTGTGCATGTTTACATAAGTAATCTAATCTGTTTTTCAGAGTCTATAAGAAGCTTTTTCTCCAAGGAAGATGAGAGAAACCTTCGTTTAGGTCAATTGCTTAGGTTAATTGAAAAAACAAAACCAGCCTGTTGTTAACTTTTCATCATGTGCTAACTCTACATGCATCTTATCTCGATTTCAGTGAATATGTAAATATATATTTCCTGACAGTAAAATGTCAGTAAAGTTACATAATCGCTGATGGAATCAGTTAATATACATATTTACTTATTATATATATTTACTGTAACATATACACCTTGGATAAGGATCAACTTCATTGGCCTGACTGCTTTGTTTGGGTTTTGCCATTCGAATTCTGTTTCATTTGCAGTAAGAAACAGAAACAGATCACCAAGCTGGAGAGCATCATTAGTTCCCCACGTCTTGACAAATTCCACACAGAATGAAGAATGAACTTTCATTTGTGACAAACTGTCCTGATCCACACTACAAACGTATCAATATCCAGCACGTTTAGTGACACAATCCCCATGGATTATGAACAACTGCCTGAGATCAATAAATCATCCTCATCTTTAAACCATCGATTGGCGTACCTACAGCTGTTTAGCAAGCAAATGTTTATTCTACATTTGTAATAGATCCAAGGTGTTCACCACAACACATGCGTAGGATAAAATCAATCCGCCCCTTTGCCGTGTTAAAAAAAAATGAAAAGAATTGTCCAAGGGTTTCCACTGACTCCGTTCAAATATGCATAAGCAACTTCTCTGCTAGGCAAATTAATTATCAGCTAAAAATGTTCTTCGTCAGATTTACCACAGTAAATTGGTCCTTCATATTTTGGAGATAGCAATACAATTTGGAGAAAAGTTTATTCTTTATGATCTTCCGGATCCATCGCCCATGACATGTAAAATATAAAATAAATGCACAAAATTAAACATACAGAAATGATATTGTTGCAAAGATATATTTAATACAATGTCCTTAACGACTCATTCAGAGTCACAGCAATGAAAACTAATGATACCTAAAAAATACAAGTATATATCGATTTGATACAACAACTACACGGTCATTCGAACGGATAGTACAGGGTAACCCTTTATTAAAGAAAATAATGGAAATAACACCAAAATCCATTCATGACAGAATTTTATGAAGCTTTGAAAGAACATTTCTAAACATAAAGTGAGAATAATTAGAGTAATCCACCAAAAGAAATTCCACTGGACGTAAAAGGCAAAATAGTGATGTTAATTATATTGGATCACTGGAATTCCGTGATGTCACAATGTGTCCGTGTAACAGGTAAGCATCCCTCGAAATGGTAGAAGTGGTGATCAATCATATTGCTCCAAAGTAAGACAGGTTTGTTGGGTTGAAGCAAGTACAAAAGAATTTTACAAACCATTGTCCTTCATCTCAACAGAAGGTTATGAAAATGTAACTGAAAGTTCTCAGGTTTTGTGTCAATACCATAATACATTTGTGCATTGTACAATGGGAACTCTGGTACTTTACACTGGAATTCATGCATTGCTGTATTGTGATTTCAAATGACAGCGGTGGCTCTTTCTTCATTCATTGCTGCCTCAATGTGTCTCAAATGCAGTGAGCAAGGCCAGACTGGCTGTTTTGTCCTGAAGTGTGTGACTATTAATAAAAGATACATCAATAATATAGTAATACGTTGATCTATTCCACATTTCTTGCATATTTGACACGTCGACGTAAACGAAATAGGATCTCACAGCTTGCAGCTTATCCCCAAGTATCTGGGTTGTTGTAGACCAGGTACAAGATCATCTGCCTTGGGGACCGGTTTCCCAGACCCTGCCCTGGTGTCCAGTGGAGGTTACTGTCAGCTGCTCCAGCTTGTCCACCAACGGGTGATGCCTCATAAACGCCTGTGGGATTGCAGGTGGAGCAGTCTTTGAACCACCAGCCTGACTGAAAGTCCTGAGCGCAGTTCCGAGCACTGTTGTCATTGTCACGATCCGGGGTGCTGAATGATGAACCGGACAAAGGTCCTAGACAGTCTTCGAGGGATTCATGATACTTGTCACTGGTGAAGTGTGACCCAAACGTCAGGTTATAATTACTTGATTCATCATCCACTCCAAAGTCCTGTATGTAATAGTCATGATAGCTGCTTCCCGTTTCAACCTGTACCAAGAGTGAGTGTTTTCTGCTGTAGCTGATGTAGTGGATGTAGTCATTGCCCAGCCAGTGATCTCCTGAAATGTTTCCAAATCCATTCTTGTAGTCATCCCATGGTCTGTTGAAGTTTTCATTACCAGTTTTCTGTTTCAGGATTGTGGTTCGCCCACCAAAGTTCATTTCACAGTAGACAATAAACGGTAGGGGAGACAGATTAGGTTGAATGATAAATTCGCCATTCTGACCGTAGTAATAAGCCATTCCATCGGAACAGTCTGCAACGAATGTTCATTGCATGTGTATTAATATATGTTTATGTGTATACTAAGCAGCAAAAGAAACGTCAGTTTGGAATTTTCCTTCACAGAAACGGATAACTGTAAACTCATTTAATGTTTTGATTGTATATTTTTGACAACATCTCCAACTTTACCTGAACAAAGACATTCCTTCACAAACTCAGAATGGAACCCAGGAAGTGATCTCAAAAACGCAACCTGATCTCGGAGATTGTACAGTGTTCTCCATGTTTTTCATGCAACTCATGCTGCACGTGTTGTTCACAAGGACCAGCCCTATAAAATACACCCCCAAATCTGGTGGAAACATTCACATTGCAACGTCAGCAGGATGCCGCGACTCACGACAGCTCAGAGGAACCAGGCGCTAGGAAGACTTGAAGCTGGCCACACCGCACAAGACGTTGCCAATCACTTCCAGGTCAACGTTCGGACCATCTACAGGCTGCAGCAACGTTTCCGGGCCACCAACACCACAAATGATCGCCCCCGTACTGGCAGACCAAGGGTGACCACAAGACGACAAGAACGCCATGTTGTGCGACAGCATGTACAGAATCCCTTCATGCAGGCATCCGAAACAACACGCTAGACAGTGGGAACACACGGAAGACCAATCAGTACTGATACAGTACGCCGACGTCTTAACAGCGGGAACCTCTATTGCCGTAGACCTTACCGTGGACCTATCCTAACCCCTCGTCATCGGCGTGAACGTCTACAGTTTGCCCTACAACACCAAACCTGGCGATACAGGCAATGGAGAACTGTTCTGTTCACAGATGAGAGTCGGTACTGCGTATCAACTGCAGATGGCAGAACAAGAATATGGCGACGACGTGGCCAGCGTTACTCAGACCAATGTGTTATGGAAAGAGATTCATGGGGAGGTGCAAGCATCATGGTATTGGGTGGAATAGGCCTGAACCAGAGAGTGGGTCCTGTGGTGTTCCAGAGCCTTGGTCGAGGGAGAGGAGGCGGCATCACAGCGGTGCGCTACATCGACCAAGCTCTCAGACCCCACGTCATACCACATTTCGCACGTCACCGTAACAACATTTTCCAGCATGATAACGCCCGAGCCCATACTGCCAGAGCTACACGGGAGTTCCTACAGCAGAACGGTGTCAACATTGTGCAGTGGCCAGCCCTTAGTCCCGATTTAAACCCAATTGAACATCTTAGGGGTGAAATTTAGAGGAGACTGAATAATGTCATACCAAGGCCGAACACAGCCGATTTATTGCGCCAGGCCTTTTTAAGAGTGTGGTTCCAGGTGCCAATGGCCTTCATCAATCGATTGGTGCACTCCATGCATAGACGCTGTGCTGCAGTTATTGCCGCTCGTGGTGGTCACACTATATACTAGTGTTGGGAATTGGTTAAAATCTCATAATTGATGATTGGTTTATTACAACCGATCAATCATCGAAAAAAATTGGTTAGCGTCATTCATGAAATTTGTTAATGCACATAAAAATAAGAAAAAAACATGTAGTTCTTTTGGGTTTTTTGGCAAAATTTCACATCCATAAAGGATGACTAGTATGTCAGGAATATAAATTTCTTGGAGTCTTTAAGATAAATTCAATCATGACTTGAAAACGAGCTTGTAGTGCTTATGAAATGTAACAAACAAAACCAACCTTGTGAAAAATATTGTTTATGAAAACAAGTGTTCCAGAATGGTTTGTGTTCGATTATGAGAAAACATGATCGATTGCTTGGTCGTTTAGTCATTGCAAACAATCTCCGATTATTTCAATTAATCGGACCACCACTACTATATACTGAAGTCAAGAGTCTGAATGGACTGCAAACGTTCACGTAATATCTTGAAATCTTGAGTTATTCATTGATGTGTCAGGATATTGTACACAAAAAGTGTTTTTGGTCCGCTTATAACGTCCATTTCTGTAATGTTTTGATAACAGTGCCTATCTAATTTTGAATTCGTACTGACGATGTTGTTTTTTTTGCTGCTGAGTATATATATGGACTTGAGTGTACCAGAATTAACTCATACGAATTGTGTAACGAAATCATACAGCCAACATGACATGACGCACTGTTACAGTGTTGATAAATGTAAAACATGAGTATATAACTGTATATCATTGTTTTAAGATCAATCATTATTACCTACGAGGGCGAACATATCGGGGTTCATATTTTTCATACGATGCCCTAGGGCAAAATATCACTCTGTCATGGTGACGTCATGAAACAATGCTATGACGTCACGTTTCTTCTGTGACGTTGCGTTCTACATGCGGCGACGGCGGGTAGACAGCCTATGTTTGAAAGTAGATTTGGGTTATTTTCCTAAATTTGACGACTTCGGTAATAAACATAATATTATATGAGTGCCCATATCATACTATGTTTACGACACTCGTGCCTAAATATCGGTATATCCCTCGCTCTCGCTCGGGAAATACCGACATTTAGGCACTCGTGTCGTAAACATGGTATGACATGGGCACTCATATAATATCCTCTATGTCTGCAGACATTATTAACGACACTCTATGGTAGAAACTATACTTGCCTATGTGAGTATCTATATATTTGCAATAGTGATCTGAATCGAGAAAACTTGACGGACTAATACATTATTTTCTAAGCGAGACCTGAACTCTGCCATGCCTAGATGATGTTAATTTTCTTTAAATACAATTATATAGAGACCATACCTTCCATCACTTGCCCACAGATATCCCCCTTGTATCCCCCGAAGCATTTACAGGTGCTTGTACCAGGATTGTAATCTCCGCCGTGAAGACAGGGGTTGTGAACCTGAAGACAAAACCAAAACACGAGCACACTTGGACTGTTACTAACACGAATGTGATCTGCCACTAGAAGAATGTAAAACCCTTTAAATCGGTAAAAAAAACATCCAAGTATTTCAGTCATTCTATTTAAATGGCTAATTCCTTGACAATTGTGCCAATGGAATGTGTGTGTGCGTGCGTGCGTGCGTGTGTTTGAATGTTTTTGGACGCCTCAGGTAGCAACATGACTGTAGCATATGTCAAGTATCGGTTAACATGCTACGACAAGCCAGTCTGACAACCTTTTCGTTCAAAGTTACCCCTTCCATCTACGACTCTGATTTTGTATTTAAATAAATGTATCACAGATTTAACAAAAGTTTAATTTTTGAAAGAAATGAATACCCAAAGGATATTGAAGTAGTTTCATGACATTCACAACATACAGCTCTAGTATTTCAATCGCGTGCAAAATATTTCTTTTCAAGACAATACATACACATTTGTAACATTCAGATTGTGCATTCACTATATGTATATAAACATTTGTCCTTAGAGTACTTACGTCGTTGTAGTGGATGTCGCCAGGTTTGTCACAGGGCCAGTAAGGGATGTAAGCATGATGGAGGAAACAGGTCGAACAGGATTTCCTGAAGGTGAAGGAATGACATCGCGTCTCCCCACTGCATAGGATGGCACAGGATGTTGCCGTGTGACCCACAGCTGTCCTCAATGGTCCACCATTGAAACTGTAGGGATCCAGACACGACCCCACAACCTCAAAACCCCTAAAGTCCCCAGAGACCACATAGTCTACGAAAACAATTACCAAGACAATAATTGTAGCAAATTCCATTTTCAGAAAAGTGAGTCAATCTTTCTGGTCGTTGTGTAAAATATGTACCTGATCGAAGGGGAGGAAAGATACTGAGTGTTTCGGAAGAGCTACGCCTATATATTGGAAAGTGACTACACGACTTATAGATGCTTCCCGGGAACAGACTGGGAAACGTGATGCTCTGATCTGTCTATGAATATCATCTTGATTGGTCCCTGGCTGTCCTCAAAATTCAATACACCTTGTGTTTGTTAACACTGCACCGACATGAAAACCCGATGTTGGTGATAAATAGTAACTGTAAAACAATAACCCGATCCAGTCCCGACCGACGATCCGTATTTGTTTTTGAAAACTAATCGTCATGGTGTCAGGGTCGGCAAAACTTAATTAGTGTGAGCGATGAATTGATTTAAAATATTCAGTTCGTATTTGAAATGAACTAAACGACCTGTAAATAAGTAGGGATGAAGGTAGACTTGCGCGTTGGTCGACGTTTAGACCCAGGTTTACTGCAGCTGTCATTAAAACATCCCAGGTTGATTCTTAACGTGCTTTAACATTTTATGATTTTTTAAGATTTGACTTGATTCACTCATACAGTTATCGCCAATGTGAGTGAGTGAGTTGAGTTGCTGAAGACCTATTCTACCCCGGATCTTCACGGGTCCGCTTATGTGAGAGACAGATAGACGGACAAATAGATACTTTAATGCTTTGTTGTAAACTTATATAAGTTATATGCAATGTCAAAATATTTAAGATTAGTTAGCGAAAAGGTAGACATATCCTTCTGCTTCTGAGGCACCTGTCACAGACGAATGCAAAGGCAAGTCAAATGTTCACATGACAAAAACACGGAAACGTGTAGTAGAGGTCTACATAGTGTAGTGCATCAAACATGATTTTTGTCACTTAATTTTCGTAAACAGAACATGCTCAATTGACTTCTAGTCTTCGACATATATAGATAACAGTTCTTATTTTCTATTGGTAATATATATTATTAAGCTGCATAACGCACGCACGCACACACGCACACCACACCACACCACACCACACCACACCACCCACACCCCGATTTTCCTCTATATCACGAGTAACTATATTTAATAACGAATACAAGGCATGTGTTTCCATGGCAATTGATTTTCTAACCAATATATTTTGTGCGTTTTCAGGAAAAAAGTAGGGTAGGCGCACTAACGAACTACTGTTTTCAAATTTGATACTACAACGCGTGGGCTTTTGATACGTTGCTGTACTTAAGGATCTTATTTTGTCGACTGCGTGTTACTTTTTATGACAATATATGCAGTCTGTGAAGTTATCAATATAGACATATTTCTCTATTAGAAATATACATTAATGAAGGGTGAAGCTATTGGAATAACCATTTCTTAAAAGTTGTAAATCTTCGTTTTTGTTTGAAATATATACAACTGAATGTTTTATAAACTTTCTTAACAGTATGGAAATGTCATTATTACGTTCTTTAACGTGCGATACATTCTGTCACAAATGGCACATATTTTTTCAAATTGTCAAAATGGACATCCACCTGCCACTTAATGTCAATGATTTGCACGTTCAAGTCGCTCTATCCATGGAAAGTGGAGGACAATACACATGCCTTTAAAAAAAATTTACTGTCGTTCACTGTTCAGGTACCTTTTAGAAATAGCAGCTTAAAGTGAGATGGTTTTATACACTTGCTAAAAGGGGTCAGGCTATAAGCTTTTTGGAATCTGGTCAAACTCAGCGGCAGGTTGCTGCCCGCTTTAATGTGAGTCAAGAGTGCTATTGGTAGACTGTGGCAGAGATTTCAAGCCAATGGGTTCGTGGAATATACACGTCGACCAGGTCGCCCCAGAGTCACAACAGTCCGAGATGACAGGCACACGATTAACACTGCGTTACGTAACAGATACCTTAAGGCAGCAGATCTTCAGACATAACACTTCAATGTTAACAGTGCGAGGATATCCAGGAGCACCGTTCGTCGACGTTTTAGCCAGCTAGACTCCGCTGTAGGCGAGCTGCAGTTCGTCCACCACTAACGTGTCAGGCGTCACAGTCAGGCGCTTTTGAGATGGAGTAGACACCATGGCCGCTGGAATCAACGTCAATGGTCTCGTGTGTTCTTCACAGATGGTGGGCAGAGGATTTATCGTCGCAATGGAGAGAGTATCACAGATGCATAACCGATTTGGCGGGGAGTCGGTCGGCAGGGATAACTCCTACTGGACATACTACACTGCACGTGGTCGACGGTAATCTTACCGGGCAGCTTTATCGGGACGAGATTCTGGCTCCTATAGCAGTACCATTCTTGCAAGCTATGCGTGGCTTTTATGGTCAACCCTCTTCACTGCAAGACGACAACGCTAGGCGTCATAAGGCAGGATTGTCACGGAATTCCTTAGAGTGTAGAGCGGATGGAGTGACCTGCATGCTCGCCAGACCTCAACCCTATTAAGCACGTGTGTACACACGTCAGCCAGCACTGGTGGATCTGCCAGCACTCAGCAGAGCTCTAGTAGAGGAATGGAATACGATTCCGCAAGCTTTCTTTATGAACTGGATAAGGAGCCACGAGAACAAGGTGCACCCGTGTCTTGGACGCCCGAGGAGGGTAAACAAGATATTTAATGACCGAGTGATTCATGCTTGTCATTTTTTATTTTGGGGAGTCGGTCTATATAACTGATGTTTGCTAGTGCTGTTTGAACTTTTTGTCTGTATGTCACAATGTGCCATACACAAGTCAAAGTTTGTCAACACATTAAACATTATGATGACACTGTTAGTTCTATAATTTCTGAGAAATCTTTCTTTACCTGTACTATATATCATTTGACCCTTTATTAATGACTCCTAGTATAGTTAATAATATTACTATTTTGCGTTCATGGATATTTAATTCAATTCGTAAAAAATATTTGACATGTGAAATTAACTTTCGCACATGCTCGTGATATAGTACAATCGATTCTGTTTTAAATAGAAATTTCTTATTGATGGAAGAACAGGTTTTGTCTGGTTTCTTATAGATTCGTTTGGAAGTATACGAGTTGTAATATCCTGCAGCAGGAAGGAGTATAGTAATGGCTTGTATTCATTACATACTTTAATTTTGCGCCTTATCCTAACTCAGAGCCTGAAATGAACGTCGCAAAAGCCGTAGCTGATGGTGCTACTGACTAATCACTTACTAGGCGAAAATAACTTGCACCAGAAGCTTCAAAAGAATAATCGCTTACAAAACCCAATGACTGTTTTAATGATGCAGCGACTCTGAATATTAATGATCCTAAACGATGCTTACATAACTAAAGATTTCGCTGAGAGTTAGTTTGCTCTCTCTGTTTCAAATATTTTTCTTCAGGTCCGGCGATAGATCAAAGCCCAAAATGTAAATACTTATTGATTGTATTTCTGTGAGCAGAGTAGATGTTGTGTACATTCGCATGACCCGCTGAAGCTAATAACCGGAAATAGTTCCGTCCGCACGTGATGTTATGAACAAGTACAGCTGCCTGTTTATTAAACAATGGTATCGTCAACGATCAATATGTTATATGATCGTAATTAACGTTCGCAACTAAATGAACTATAACTATCACATCTGCAGAATCTCTACAGTCTGAACGAATTAAACAAGCTAACATATTTTAGGAAGAAATAAAACGCATGTGCAACTCATTAGGCCAACATATGTTTAACGTTACTGAATAATGATTAATTTAGTCATAGATTAATTAAAGTATTATTTAATGACAGCTAGACCAGTTACGAACTGAGTGATATTTCCTTTTCAATTGCAAGTCTTAATTAAATCGTTAACAGTCCAATGAATAATGAGGCGTCCTATAAGTGACTAGATCATGACACATTTAACTGTTTCCATTGCAAGGTGTTTCATGGCGCAAGACTCCAGTGCGCAATGTTGGGTGGTCACATGACCACGTAGGCTTATACCGATTGGCTGTCACAATACTTGACCCCGACCATTCACTTAAAATGTCATAACCGTTATTGTTCGAAACCACTTTCAAAACTCCTGGTCTTGGTTGCGCATTTGTTGGGTGTTATGGGTACTTTAACTTCCAACCCAAAATGTTTTGCAAAAAAATCAATCCAATCCATCAGTAGTAGCTCAAGCTGTGTCAGTAAGCTCAGTCTCTTGCCCACAGAATACCATAGAAATGGCGTGGAGGTTCATTCAATGTAAACTGTATGGAGAATGTTCCCGAGCAAACTGTCAGCCGAACTGTAGAATTTCATATCGAGCAACATTTGTGTAACGGCTACGACGGCCGACAGATCGTGCATTGTAATGGGAAAGTCATGTGAACTAGTACAACTAATGAATCCAGATCCAATTTTCTTCTATTGCCGGACTATGACCAGACAGAGCAGTTGTTTCGATGTCAACTGTACAGAAGCAGAAAAAGACTGCTGCAACAGTAAAATCTCTGTTGATCGATTCCAGAGGCACATATCCGGTATTTGTATTGGTCTACTTGAATCAGGATATTTCACGTGTGTCATCAAACCGTTTCTCTGTCAGGCGAAGTGGGAAACCTTTTTCATTCTCAACACATAATACATACATAATCATTCACAGACAACTCTCACAAATATGACCACAGGTTGGCCAATTGTTAATTGCGTCGGAGTTCGCTATGCAGAGTTGCGTCCCTTAGGTGTGCCATTTAACGTGTGATCTTATGTTCGAATCATGGTTGGTCGTGTTTCTTGGTTTGTCAGCTCGTTGGTGTCACTAGAGTCACGAACGTTGACCTGCATCACTTCGGATTTCCGTTCAACATCAAACTGACTCACTCAAAACTGTCTGTGTGTGGCTAGAAATTCCAATTGCCTGTTCCTTTCGTTTGTGGACAGTCATCGTAAACACAAATTAATAGGAACTCATATTGTGTATTGTGTTCGAGAATAGTTGAAAATTATCAAGACTCGATTGGTTGAGGTCGCAGTAATATAGCTGGAATGCCAACTGAGTCACATTTGCAAAATACTTAAATCTTTCTCACACTAACGTTAACGTATCATGCAGTTATGGCATTTAAGGTTGCAATCGGAATTTATTGATCTATACAAATACAAGGAAGGAGAGGAAGAGAGAGGAATTATTAATACAACGTTTAAGCCAACACTGTACATCACGACACAATACAGCTGTTTAAGGTGTAAGTAAGTTTGTAGCTTGTGTGTCGAAAATGCAAATGCCTTAATGTCTGAAGAAGCATAAAATATTGTTGGATAGTCAGGGGAGGGGATGGGGTGGGGGATTGTATCTCACACGTAACATAAGGACAAACGATAGTCACTACACGGACCGGTCGATAGCACAACAGGCAGGAGTAGACGTAGGTGTAAGATTCTCTTTCTATCTGTTGTGCATGGGACAAAGCGCACGATCACTTCGATTTTGAGGAAAGCTGTCACAAACACAAACACAAAGATAACCGCCATCTGATCAGTATATATGGTCGATATCCAGCCATTGCTGACTTGTTATCTTTCAATACTCACCGGCTCTCCGTTTACATGACCAAGGTCGGACTGGCTGCCTTATCCCCAAGTAAGTGGGTCGTTGTAGACCAGATACGTTATTTTGATATATTTGCATTCGGTTTGCTTTGTTTTGTTTGATGTAGTACGCAATACATCAATTTTGCTGAATTCCGAATTTCTTGTTTACTTGACCCGTCATCGTTAAACGAAATAGGATCTCACAGCTTGCAGCTTATCCCCAAGTATCTGGGTTGTTGTAGACCAGGTACAAGATCATCTGTCTTGGGGACCGGTTTCCCAGTCCCTCCCCAGGGGTCCAATGGAGGGTACTGTCAGCTGCTCCAGCTTGTCCACCAACGGGTGATGCCTCATAAACGCCTGTGGGATTGCAGGTGGAGCAGTCTTTGAACCACCAGCCTGACTGAAAGTCCTGAGCGCAGTTCCGAGCACTATTGTCATTATCGCGATCCGGGGTGCTGAATGATGAACCGTACAACGGTCCTAGGCAGTCTCCGAGGGATTCAAGATACTTGTTACTGGGGAAGTGAGACCCAAACGTCAGGTTATAATTACTTGATTCATCATTTACTCCAAACTCCTGCATGAAATACTGATAATAGCTGCTTCCTGTCTCAACCTGCACCAAGAGTGAGTGTTTTCTGCTGTAGCTGATGTAGTGGATGTAGTCATTGCCCAGCCAGTGATCTCCTGAAATGTTTCCAAATCCATTCTTGTAGTCATCCCATGGTCTGTTGAAGTTTTCATTACCAGTTTTCTGTTTCAGGATTGTGGTTCGTCCAAAGGCCATTTCACAGTAGACAATAAACGGTAGGGGAGACAGATGAGGATGAATGATATATTCGCCATTCTGACCGTGGTAATAAGCCATTCCATCGGAACAGTCTGCAATGAATGTTCATTGTATGTGTATCAGTATGTATGTTTTGCTTGCATATCATTTAACTGTAAATGGTGTAATAAAATCACACATCTTAAAGTGCACGAAACACTTTCACAATCATATTTGTTATTTGTTGAAAATATGATAGAAATTATACATATCCTGTCTGTAAAATCTATACTGTTCAGTAGAGATCTGAATTATGTAAACATGACTTGAACTAACATACAATACATCATTTTCGAAGTGAGATCTGAATTCAATATATATATTTTCGTTGAATACTATAACGCAGAAGTCATACCTTCAATCACTTGCCCACAGATATCTCCCTTGTAACCACCGAAACATTTGCAGGTGCTTGTACCAGGATTGTAATCTCCGCCGTGAAGACAGGGGTTGTAAACCTGAAGCCAAAATACGTTCCGTTGACACTTCCTAACACATGTGGCAATGGCAGCATGAACACACTTGAACACACAATGCCATAACATGTGTTCAATGAACAAACTTATATGGTTACTGACACGAATACAATCTGACAGTAGCAGAATGTGAAAGCCATTTTATTAGCTTTACAAGAAGTAAGAATAGTGAATCACATGCAACCTCGTTTCATCTAATGTTTTTTGGATTAGGAATTGACTAATTTCAATTTCAATTAGAAGCAACTTAATGTAATCGGGGCAATCTGATTACGCCGTGTTCGTTTCAGTTGGAATAGCCAACTTGTACCATTTGAAGCAAACAGGACGCGTTTATGTAAGCATTTACCTGACACGAAACCTGCATGTATAAAAAAAATATAGTCCGTTTGGCTCAAAAGCGGACCGATGAATTGCAATCTAACTCGAAAACATATAAACATAAAATACCCAATGAAACACTGATCATAATGAAAACGTCAGACCAACTCTGAGAGGTGTTTGCAGAATTTATGTCCTAAAAATAAAAAAAATTGTTTAACAAACTATGATTAAAATATCGACACAGTTCACTATTTGTTACGAGGGAGGAGTGCAGAGAAAGGGACAGCCGGGTGTGCGAGAAAGGATGGAGACGGCACAGCACAGGTTAATGAATCAATAACTTTGTCGGCACTTGTGCACGTGCTTCTCTAACACTTGGCTGTCCCTTTCTCTGCACTCCCCCCTCGTAACAAATAGTGAACTGTGTCAATATTTTAATGATAGTTTGTTTAACAACTTTTTTAATTTTAGGACATAAATTCTGCAAACAAATCACAGAGTTGGTCTGATATTTTGATTGTGATCAGCGTTTCATTGAGTATTATATGTTTATTAGTTTTTGAGTTAGATTGCAATTCATCGGTCCGCTTTTGAGCCAAACGCACTATACATGTATTGTCATTTATTCACAGACATACAGTTCAGCATACAAACAGTAGATTTGTTTAAAGGGAATTAAATGTGCCCCAATAACGAACACTTTTACGGTATTTCCTTTACACCATTTAAATAGAGACCTTAGAACATCTGCAAAGTGAACCTAAGCTTTCGAAGCCAGTACACAGGACCTCAGTCTCTTCAATCTCCTACTTAACATATATACAAATTACTAGGATATTGAACCCCTTCCCTTTTAGAAGGCAACCATATTGTAACTGCCTTGAAATATCGCTTTCCAATCCAACGTCTCCATCAGACATCCCCTTTTTTATACATCTAATGTGTGAGAAGTCAGTCAGGTTCCTCGGTGAATGAGGTATATGGAACCATCAAAACAACACCTTTACTTTCATGCTCTATCTTTCACTGATTTACACTGGTCGATAAATACCACGATGCCTATTCGTGTAAACAGCACTAATGGTGCAAACAGTAACATAAAGACGCTGGTGTTTTTGAGTAAGTATGAGGGTGGTTTTGAGTAGGTATGGTTGAGTTTAAGTGCAATACTAGAGTCCCACAGTCGGTTACCGATGTCCTCGAAGATATGATAAATGGAGATAAATTGGTTTCATTGTGAATAACTCTTGTCTATGTGGACGTTGAGCGAAACATAAGATGATTCGTGTTTAAGATTTGTTTTTAACTTGTCATAATCTATGTGTGACATGAGCTGTGTTATTATGTCTCCTCTTATTAGTGTATGCATTGGTAATCGTATCTTGTTTGCAATTTATTTATAAGTGATCTTTCCAGGTTTTTAGTCTAAATGTACAAGGTGTGCACATAGTCCATCAATATTTTCATTACCGTTATCATGTGATCATTAATCTACTCAAAATAGTTTTTATGTTAGTCCAAAATGCCACCCATAAAAACAATTTAGCCTGCTTGTGTGTACTTTGACCTGCTTGACAATTGTCTAATTATATAAGAAACGTAATCTAACCATTCGACATTCAGGCTACAAACCAAATGTTATTTAAATCGTCATGGTTTAAACAAGATAAGAGTTTTCTTTTTGTTAAGGACCAACGTCCATATGAGCATACTGCGGCATGTCTGTCTATTGTGTAATAACTTTCGACCTTTTCTTATTTTTGCCATTGTTTTACGCCACCGTCAGCAAAATTCTACTGATGTCGCTGTAAGTAAATAATCCGTCCAGTGTACCTACAGATAAGCCATTTCACAACTTTTCAACCTCTCAAAATGAAGAATGACGTTATTTCTGTACAATAAAACCAAGTTTCGAAATTTTGTTGGTTTTTGTTTCAAAATCCTAACTATTTCTCCTAGTACTGATCCATTTAAATTTGGCGAAAATGATTTGAACAGGCCGAATTTTCTAAACTTAAAGAGAAACTTGGTCTTGAGAAAGTACTTTACCAAAGCTTGTTTTTGTTTACCATATTTAGACACTCTCTTGGTCGGTTAAAATCAGCCTGTACATGTTCAAATATTTTCAACAAATGTCACATTCCTGGGCGTTCCAGTTTTTATCTCCGTCCAGTTTATATCTACGTACACTTCTTTCGTGTCTTGAAAACGTTAACAGACTCTGGACCAGACCATTATGTAATATGAAACCCTACACACCTTGCGAATATGTTCGATAATAACTGATTGTCAGTACTAGATCTTGTTTTACCGGAACCATACAACCTAAGTTAACGGGGTTAGGCTGGGACTGCTTTCAATGTAACATATGCACATAGGATACACAGTTTGAGACAAGTCATTACCAATCTGTTTTCAAGGACTGCTTATCTAACTCGTCATCCGAACAAACAAAACAAGTATCACTAATAGGTTGCCGCGGTACAGGGAAAGTTTATCTATTCCAAATATCAGGGGATTAGAAAAACAAAGCATCGATTTTATAATTATCTCTGAAAGTAAAACATAATGGAGTTTCTCAAACGGATTTTGGTCGTTGAGTCTTCTTTGAAACTGCTTGGCCTACGTGAATGGGAAAGTACGAGCTAAAATATCCTGTTCATTCTAAATGTTCAAATGTCGAATTCACAAGTACAAACCGTCACACATGGTTATCTATATTTTGTAATTAGATGATCGAATTCAAACGTTCAAAATGAATCGGAAGTTGTCTCGGGCAGTTTGGTACTCTGACAGCTGAAGACTGCCATGAGCTCAACGCATGACATTATAGGATTAAATGACGAACAGTCAAGTAAGGAGAATGCAAAGGAAATCAATGAAGCATCTATGTGAAATAGCAAAAATGATATAGTGTTGCCATGCCAAATTCCGCGTTTGGGCTTAAAGAATATGTCCATCTTGAAAGAGTCAAGATTATTTTCTTAACGTCTTACATCCAATGTGCTCTCTCACTCACAAGCACACATTCCAGTTCTTTGAGAATATCAAAATTAATCATTTTTAAAATATCTCAAAACAGAATAAAATAGCAACATAAGTTGTTGGAATTTATGCGAAATATGTTCATCATACTTTCCTTTAAAATGTTTATTCAAGATGTTTTATTCACAACTCTATTCGCAACACGTGTAGTCAAATGTTCTGAGATGCAGTCGTTAAAACCTGTGTTCACCTTCATAGTGCCTTTGTTGGTTAATCAGAACCGTGATTGGTAATCAAGTCCCGCATAATTTGGGGCTTTCCTTCCACAGCAAATTAAAACTGAGTAAGAAATCTGTACAAAAAGACGTTAAACCCATTGACTCTGTTCTATGTCGTTATTTCACCATTTAAATATGATAGCTATATGATATGTAACATGTTTAGTAACCTCAGCAGGAAGTGAGTGAGTGAGTTTAGTTTTACGCCTCTTTTAGCAATATTCCAGCGGGGTACACCAGAAATGGGCTTCACTTATTGTACCCATGTGGGAATTCGAACCTTCGTATTCGGCGTGATGAGCGAACGCTTTAACCACTAGGCTACCCCACCGTCCCTTTTAGTCATGGTACATATTTGAAGGTAAGGTATATGGGTGCTAAGCAAAGCTTCAGCGACTGTCATCAACATATATCCATTCACCTAAAGTTTGAAAAAAGATGACGTGTTCCGGAAACAAAAAAGCATGAAAGTCTATATCCAACTGTGTTCGAAAACGCCAGTCTTCAACTATATAAAAGGACAGGGCATGAAGTCAATCAGTTGTCCTTAGAGTACTTACGTCATTGTAGTGGATGTCGCCGGGTTTGTCACAGGGCCAATCAGGAATGTAAGCATGATGGAGGAAACAGGTCGAAGAGGATTTCCTGAAGGTGAAGGAATGACATCGCGTCTCCCCACTGCATATGATGGCACAGGATGTTGCCGTGTGACCCACAGCTGTCCTCAATGGTCCACCATTGAAACTGTAGGGATCCAGACACGACCCCACAACCTCAAAACCCTTGAATTCGAAGTCCCCGGAGACCACATGGTCGGTGGAAATTATCATCAAGACAATACTTACTGCATATCCCATCATAAATAATAATTGCGTAAAGTCGTCTTTAGTTAGCTTATAGCTTTGAAAAGCAGTATGTCTATCCGACAAATGTCGCAATGAAATGGATCAGTTAGTAGAAAGTGCCTTGGCGGTTGTTTGCGTATTCTTATTCGAAACTAGATGACTTCATTCAGTGTCATGGCTTTATATGGGGACTTGTCACTCACTGTGCATACAGATCAATGCTCAATAAGTGCGAAGGCAGTTTATTGATTTTTCAAACGGTCTCACTCTCAGATATATCAACTGAACTAAGATTCGTCAACAGTGTTCGTGCAAATTCCTGATTTTAGTATTTCCTCATCCTTTGTAAAATCTTCAGAAGGTTTTAGAGCACGGAGATCCAAGTGAGTTTTTTTTCCTTTTCCTTTGTGTTCATCGTGATTGTCCCTGGATTGTAAACCTCGGTACGGTTCTAAGGCGATCTTAATCTAAACCTGCCTGGGTACATTTACGACTGTCTCAAATAAGTTGTTTTTCCAATTACTGGATACGTGTGATAGCTATCAATAATCACAGGAACTACCGGTCGGCCATTGCTATTAGTGAATAATAAAACGTTATTTAAATCTACACTCAAAATTATTCCATATTATGATTACATGCAACTTATCGAATCTGAACAAGGCTCTGCGTCAAAGGTAACACATTATCAGCCAGGGTACCGTTGTACAAAGCGATCATAGCGCTAAGGTGACCGGAACTCCCATACCTTAAAAAGCTTAAGGTAGTCTTAGCGCTAAGGTTATTTTGTACAGCAGCACCCAGCTCACATACTGTGTAATCCCTGCCTTCTTTTGTATGTCAACCGTGGGGTACTGAAGATCTGTTCTGTCCGGATTTCCCATGGATGTATTTTCATTCAGTTATCCTATTTGACCACCAAGAGCCCTATGCACCCCGATCCGAATAAACTGTTTAATACTTTTCTATAGAAGCGTTTAGTGCACTAAGCGGTCTCAGTCACAATCTCATATTTGTAAAATGAAATCCAGATTCATTATAGATGCAACGTAGTAATGTTGATCGTTTTTCTAATTTAGTGAGTGAGTTAAAGTTTATAGTCACAGCGGCAGTATTTAAGCCATATCGTGACTAAAAATAGACTTAGTGACTGAGTGAGTTAAGATTTATAGTCACATCGGCAATATTTCAGCCATATCAGGACTTTAAAACTGAATTATATAAAACCTGTCAACGACGGACAGTAAAATAACTAGATTATCACTTATAGATAATTAAAACTAGCATGTAACTGTAAAATTAAACAAACTTTTATGGAGTATACAATATAATAAACGGACTCGAGATCACCAGCAACTGAAGGTAGGTCACCATACTTTTTTAAATTGAAGAAACCTTGACTTTGGTACATTTCATGTAAAAAAAATCGGATTAGGTCTTCACGAACAATGTTGTCCATTAGTATCCAAGTATGACGGAAACTAATAAAGTAGCCACTTTGGTGGTTATTTCCGGGTTTCATGAAAATTAACCTCCAAATATAATATTCTGCAAAATATAGTGGAATGTCGAATAAAGTCATCGAAAAATAGGTTTCCAAATAGTCGCAGAGAAAAGTATTTTCCGCTCCTTTGAAACCATATTGAATCAGTGTCAGGGAGGTGAACACGTAGAACTGACTGCACATATATGACACTGGGAAGCGATATCGAAACGTGATAGCCATCAAAACAGCCTTCGGTAAATGGTGGTTAGAGTGTCTGTCCCGTGACTGGAAAGTTTGTGGTTTTGGGTTCCTGGAGGCTATTACTTACCACAGATGTTAACAGAAGGTGCATGTTACCTTGCCTGGCTCTAGGCATTTAAGTAACAAAACACCTTCAAGATTAGCACTCAATATAATGAGTCTCAGTGATATACCCATATTAAACAGCTGGTAGTTCTCCCCTTGCAATTTGGATAGCCGCATAAAACCCTTCAGCCATCTGACGAGTGAGTGAGTGAGTTAATATTTATCGTCACATCGGCGATATTTCAGCCATATCGTGTCAAGAACAATTTATAATTATATTAAAGATTAATAAAGTTAGAAATTAAAAACCTCTTGACGAAGAACAGTAAAACTAATAGTGCATCACAGATATCCATTTAAAACTAGTAACTAAATCTAAAATAGTTCAACTATAAATGACAATACAATATAAAAGCAGGCTATAGATTGCTAACGACTGAAGGTAGATCACCATACTAGGGACCATGGGGACTTACAGTACATTTGCTTCCTGCATGGGCCCTAGCTGGATTTACATCATCCCTTCAGCCGCTAGCAGTTTAGACAAATCTAGCCATACATTTAAAAAGACACATATTCTACGATTAAAAATAGTGGAAAGTTTGAATTTACTATGAATGTTTGTGGACTTACGTACCCTCTGGGAGGACAATAATTTTACAATACTTTAACCCCTTTGAGGATACAGCCACTAACAATCTGAGTTACTAATTTAAACTTCCAATCATAACATATTTATCTATTTATAAATCATTTAACAAATCTAATTATTTTAAAAATGCAATAATTAAATAAGAACTGATATTATTAAAAAGATCCTTCATACTTCGTGATTTGAAATAGTTATCCCTTGTGATGGAATATTCAACACAGTCAAGCAGGACATGCTTGACCGTGATTCTTTCATCACAAGGGATGCAAAACGGAGGATATTCACCTTTCAGTTAGTATTCGTGTGTATACCGTGTATGGCCAATGCGACATCGTCGCATGATGACCTCTTCAAAGCTGAACTGACAACCAAAGGAAGTGTAACCAATATAGGGTTTTATTTCATGTAATTTATTGATACCTACTTGGGTGTCCCACTTCTTCTGCATCAGATCACGGATGTAGGTTCTAAGGATAGCTTTGTAATCAGAGTATGGGATAAGAAGTGGTGTCAAAGATTTGTTGAGTGCTGCCTTGGCAGCAAGATCAGCCATTGTATTACCAGGGATTCCAACAAGGCTGGGTAACCAACAGAGGATGATGTCGTACTGGCCAGTAGCTAGATCATTATATAATTCGATTATTTCAATTAAAAGTAGATGTTTGCAGGATAGATTTTTTATAGCCTGAAGGCAAGAAAGAGAGTCAGAAAAGATTATATATTGTGTATGTTTAGGATGTCTTTGAATATATTCAATAGCTGTTAATATGGCGTTTGCTTCTGCTGCAGTGGCACATGCCACCGCGCCACCATCCTTGGACCCATCTGTATATAAGGATTTGTAGGTATTATATTTATTTTTTAATTGATTATATTCTTGTTTATATTGTAACTCATTTGTTTCAGATTTCTGAAACTTTGTCAGAGTCAGGTCAACTTCAGGCCTCACCAGTTGCCAAAGAGGAGAAGAAAGAAGACAGGAAGGAGATATTTTCCAGCTCAATGCCAGCAGCAGAAAGGAATGGTTTAATTCTTAGCCCAAGAGGCGGAACAAGAGAAGACTTTTTGTTGCATAGATCCTCATAAAGAGGATTGAAAACACAGTTAAATGCAGGATTAGACTCGTTAGAATAGAGTTTGTTATATACTGTAATGATAATTTGATACGACGTTGGTTAAGGGATGGCCTCAACATAGAGTCTGTCAACAGAAGTTCTAAAAGACCCAAGACAAAGTCTTAGGCCTTGGTTGTGGACAGAATCCCGTAGTTTTAGGTTGCTTTTGCAGGCTCCACCATATACAATGGAGCCATAGTCAAGTGAAAGAGGGTGGTGACCGCCGTTGAGAGTTAGGTGTGGTACTTAAAAGAGTTGTCATGGTTGCTGTCGTTAATTTGTAATTATACTTAACATTCAACATTTCTAACAGTGCTCACTAATCCATTACTTCTTTCACTTACTTTCAAATGTTAGTTTAAGCACAGTTATTATGTGAAGGCATTATTGTTGACATATTTATCTGTTAGAACTGACCTCCATATAGTTAATGACGTCACTATTTTACGTTCACGCCTCCTTAAACGCAAGTGATTTTGAATGCAATTCTTAAAAATATATTTGACAGGTAAATTTAACCTTCACACATGCTAGTGATATCATCGGAATTGAACAATCGACCCCGTTTGAAGCAGAGGTTTCTGGGTGTGGAAAGGGATTTGTCGGCCTACAGTAATAGTAATGTATTACTCACGTTCATCTTGCACATTAATTCAACTCAGAGCCTAAAAAACGTCACTTGTATATAGATATATAGAATGCAAAAGTCGTAGCGGATGGCCCAACTAACAAATCGCTTACTTGGCGAAAATGACTTGTACCAGAAGAAACTTCAAAAAAATAATCCCTTTGGAAATCCAATGAAGGTTTTAATGATACGACGACTCTTATCATTAATGACCCTAAACGATGCTTACATAACTAAAGACATCGCTGAGAGTTAGTTTGTTCTCTCTATTCAAATTTTTATCCTCAGGTCCGGCGCAAGTCGCTAATGTAAATAATTACTGACAATATGTCACTAATACAGCGTGTTTCACAGATCCATGCATATTGTGGCTTGTGTTTGGTGAACATTGTTCAGTGCTATTGGGAATATATAATCCTCTGTGAGAGGAGTAGACGATGTGTACATTCGCATGACCCGCTTATCCTAATGACCGGAAATAGTACCGATGGTATCACCCAGTACAGTTGCTTATTGAACAATGGTATCGTCAACGAATGGGTGATCAGTATATTTATTGATTGTATTAAAATGAACTTACTATATGAAGAACATGCTTATGTTTTAAATACAAGACTAAGAAATTGGTTAGAAAAAAATAACTTGTCTGCGAGCGGATAGAAACGGTATTGGTCACCTGTATACACTGTGTAAATATATACACTGTCATAAATAACCTTTGTATGTTTTGTGGACATAAGAAAGGCGTTTGACACTGTAATTGCCTGTGGTACAAACTTATGTCTATAATTGCCTGTGGTACAAACTTATGTCTATGGGAGTATATGCTAAACTAGTGAAAGCAGTGCAGAACTTATATGACGATGTGAACTGTGCTGTTATGTTAAATGACCACATCACAGGACTATTAACAAGTATCTCCAAAGGAAGTTACATGTTATGAATATTTGATGTAAATGGTCTCACTGTAAATCTTGATAATTCTAAAATCATTCATTTTAGAAAAAATTTGCTATTCAGTCATGTTTTGTTTTACATTGGTATAACACAATTGTTTATGATACATTTTAATGTAATTTGAGTTTGGGTTTCAACGAATATGGATATGCTCCAAGTAAATGCAAGAAGAGGGAATATGGGTTTGTGTTCTATTGTTTTCGTTATATATCTTAGACTTAAATCTAAGCGTAGCAGTCGCATATCAAAAAGGAAACATTTATGGGCTATGCAAAAAATAATTCCCTTAGATTATATAGAGTTCTAAATTGTTATCTCAACATAACTCTGAATTTTTACTTTATAATCACTGGGGTTCTAAACGTTGCATTAATTATGTAATCATGGAATTCTTAAAAAGACAGGATGTTGATTGTTGGCATGCATCTTTCTGGAATGATGTTCGAAAAGTTAACGGTAATAAATTGCGGACCTATCGTTGGTATAAAGAAACTCCCTTTGTTGAAAATTATGTTAAAAAATTAGGTTTAGAGATCGTCGTCGTATTTTATCCAAATTTAGATGAGGTATTTTACCCTTGTTGTGCCAGGCCCCCTGTTCCTTTTTTATAAAGGCATTGTAAGTATTGTATTATAAGCGATAATGATTCCCACGTGCATATAGTTGAAGATAAATTTCATTTTTTAGTGAAATGTAATTTTTGTGAGGATTTAGGTTTATCTTATTTGAAGCTGCCTTTAAATGTAACCATTTTTGATAACTTAAATGATACCGACAAGTTTATATTTCTTACGAAAGAAAACATATCCAAAATATTTTCGCCTCTTCACTTGTATAAAAGACAAGAAATGTCATTGATATAATTTATGTACATATTACGCACGGTTTTACTGTTGTACAATGTGTTGTCTGTAAAATGTACTTGCGCGTATGACACTTTAATAAAAATATACTACTACTACTACAACTACTACTAACTTCTGCAGAACCTCCACAGTCTGCAAATCCGACCTTTGGGCGACAGTACTATAAACTGCGACCTTTGGACGACATTGCCGTATATTACAAATTTAATAATAATAATATAGATCATTTGTAATGCGCTTGACTCCACAACACTTGGCCATGCTCTAAGCGCAAACACAAGACAGTCAGTAGCGAAGAAAAAGAAATGTCTTTAGATGAGATTTGAAACTTGAGAGAGTTGGAGCAGATTTGATGTCTGTAGGGAGAGAGTTCCACAGACAAGCAGCTGAATGTTTGAAGGATCTATGTCCGAAAGTTTTGAGTTTATATGGAGGCACAACAAGAAGAGATTGATCGGCACATCTGAGATTCCTCGGTGGGACGTAGGGTGAGACAAGGGCTTGGAGATAGAGTGGAGCAGTTCCATTTAGTACTTGGTAAGTTAGAGTTAAAATCTTAAACTCTATTCTTTCCCTAAATTTACATTGATTTATTATTCTATTTGGGTTATATACATTTGAATTTGATAATTAAACATAAAAAGGGGATAAAACCTTGTAAATATATACAAATAGAGAATATATTTTGGTGTCGCCCATACCGTGTCGCCCAAAGGTAAAGTGTACGGCGTACATGTATATATACAACCTTTAGGCGACTGTCGCCCAATGGTCGCTTATGTAATATACAAGTCATATATATGTCGCACAATGGTTGCTGTTTAATACTATATACGTGTATACATTTCTGTTGCTGCTTATTTGATACATATCGCCCATTGGTTGTTTATGTGTTTCAGTGTCTTGCGCGCCGAGAAATTGTTTTTCCTATGTGTGCATGAAACTGACTACTAGTATCTTGTTTCCCATGTGTAACATCGCACATACAATCAATTGATACTTTTGTGCTTAATTTTCTCAAATATGATGCAGTCAAACAAACCAGACTAGTTAGAATAAACACTGAGATTATGATTACTTGTAATATTTCTAAAAATATTATGCTGTAACATACATTTATCATTTGGCTTAACTTGTTTCCCACTCAAGCGCTTAAGTGCCCTTGCTTTAGATTAGTTTACGTTGTTTACCACTCATGGTTTGCTGTGGAATAAGTTTTGAGGATATGTTAAGATTAACCAACAACTAAATATGAAATATTCCCATACTCAAACACCGAAAACCTCTATAGGAAATCAACACCCTGATGAAGACAGGCAGATAAGTAGTCTTTCTTTCGGGGGGTAAGAAAACGACGTCGTATCGCTTCCCGTGAACGAACAAGAGAAGACGATTTTGTCAGTACAGACGTACAATTTTCAATTAAAAATCATTAAACAATTTTATGTATCTTTTCAGTTCTAATTTGTTTTTGCTAGGCATTGTATTATATGCAGGGATAAGAATTAGCGTGTGCATTTGCCTTGTATACACAGTCGGAAATGGCAATCAGCTGTGCACACTTTTCCCCGCCATCTACCGGTGATTTAGTTAATCGGAGTGATCGGAAAAATATAGTATCTGAAATTATTATGTTACCATGACAAGTATATTGTTTCATTTTAATTGCAGGTTTTGCTCTATTACTGAATAATATATATAATCATAAGTAAGGTTATGCGACAGCTCTTTGGTGTATTACTGGATAGTATTTATGCAAGGAACAATTTGACATGTCACCAATGAGGTTTCGCGCGATCTCGCTATTTCCACAGCGAAGACATGTGATCGTCCAGCTTAAAGAACTATTACTTTTAGCCAAACGAAATATGTATACGTATCCATTTTCTGCCAAATACACTTCATTTCGAGGCGTGAGTAGATGCAATATGATGGTGATTTTTGTGACTAATGCGGACCGAAGTTATAATATCGGGGAGACACAGGATTTCACTGCAGTTGATATAAACATTCTTTTTTGACCTTTTGAGTAAAATTAATAAACTGGATTGCAAAGTCCAGATATAAAAAATATGTTTCATGACGAGATAAAGTAACAACATGATAACTTGCGTAATTAAATATGGATTTGTTGACACTATTTCAAATGACTGATCACGACGAAAAGATCAGCGAAGGTTGATGGAGTCTGGAGTCTGAATACCATCTAAACACAGCCCATTTTGAGCCAGTCGGGATTATTCCCGTTCTCCTATCATTCACTGAGGCATACCAGACGACTCCTGAATAAACTGGGGCTCCGACATTGATTTTGCCTGATGTCTGGTCTGAATATCACCTAAACACAGCCCATTTTGAGCCAGTCGGGATTATTCCGGTATCTCCTATCATACACTGAGGCATACCAGACGACTCCTGAATAACCTGGGGCTCCGACACTAATATTTTCCTGATGTCTGGTCTGAATACCATTTAAACACAGCCCATTTTGAGCCAGTCGGGATTATTCCCGTTCTCTTATCATACATTGAGGCATACCAGACGACTCCTGAATAAACTGGGCTCCGACACTGATATTTTCCTGATGTCTGGTCTGAATACCATCTAAACACAGCCCATTTTGAGCCAGTCGGGACTATTCCGGTTCTCCTATCATACACTTAGCCATACCAAACGACTCCTGAATAAACTGGGGCTCCGACACTAATTTTGCCTGATGTCTGGTGTGAATAAAATCTAACCACAACCCATTTTGAGCCAGTCGGGACTATTCCGGTTCTCCTATCATACACTTAGTCATACCAAACGACTCCTGAATAAACTGGGCTCTGACACTGATATTTGCCTGATGTCTGGTCTGAATACTATCTGACCACAGCCCATTTTGAAATAAACACTGCACTAGATCCGCAAGTGCTACACCACCACTATCCACCCCCACTCCATGGAAACTGGAGCCATAATCCACCCCAGTGCGAACCAATGATAGGAACAAGAAAAGATTGTAAGTTTAAAAATTACTATTTATTAAACCAAATAGTTTTGACATTCTTATTTACATAACTTAGCAAAAATTTGTAATTTTTGCATTTACACTTCTCTGAACGAGACCTTGACTAACATTCGTCAGGTTAAATTGCTGATTATGTTGTTCTGTGATGAGGTGTTTCACTCTATGAGGGTGGGTTCAAATCACACATGGGATTGACTCCACCCCCACCAGCAAAGTACTAGTATCTGTACTTTACTGGGAAAGTGAATTCCCAACTGTAACATCCCTCAGAAATCATCTGAATAGTTTTTAAGTTAATCTTATTCTTGAAATGTGTGCCATCTCTTCCTTGTCCTTTGCTGCTGTATTTTCTGCTTGTTCATCATTTTTGTTCTCAGTTGGACATAAGAGCATTCACGCTTGGAAATCTGTAGAAATGCCTGAACTGTCTCCTTTTCTGAAATATGACAAAGTTTTCAAAATTATGTTAAAACATCAAGGTACAATTCCAGTGAGTATCATCACTCAGCTTCTAGTCCTATAGCCTTTACCCAACTCCCCAACTTAAGGTTTTATTAGGACAAGTAAACATTTGCCATTTTAAAGATTTAGCTCATTTGTTATCATTATGAGGACTTGTGGCCTAAATATACTATTCCTACTTTGCTAAGGATCAAATCATTGATTCAACAGAAAACTATGATGTGGGATCTAATTTGGTTTAAATATCTAAGCTTATTGTAAGCATGGATCCTAGGTTTCAGTATGTCATTTAATCTTGTGGATCCCATACCTGCTATTGACAGGTGTTGTGTACTTGTAAATGACTCATTCCATGATTTGCAAAATGGTTGATTGGTGCCATTAAAACCATGTTTATGGTTACTCATGTATCAAGTGCATAAGGTTAGATTAAAGTAGATGTTTGCCTAAAGAAGGGTTACTATATTACAATTTACCCAGTTTTAAATGGATACAGTATCAAATTATAAATCTATGTTTAAGTAAAGTTGGGAATTTTTGTGATTCTTAGCAAAGTGTGAGTAGTCTATGTTAGTTTCTAATCACTGCAATATTCAATATAACAACGTATAATCCTTAAATTAACTTTGCAATAAGGTAGAATAGAAATAGTTCTATAAAGATGGAGCCTTGTGTATTGAGGAAACTTTAAATCTCGTAACATGGCTGAAAATTGAATGGGAGTGACTGCCAATGTCTATGAGAGAAATGAGGGTCAACACTTGTAGTTAGTGAGTTTAGTTTTACGCCGCTTTTAGCTATATTCCAGCAATATCAGGGTAGGGGACACCAAAAATGGGCTTCACACATTGAACCCATGTGGGGAATCGAACCCGGGGCTTCGGCATGACATGCTAACGCTTTAACCCCTAGGCTACATCACCGCCTGTCAGTAATCACTTCATTAAGCAGATAGAGACTGAATACCACTGAGAAAGGAAAAGTAGGAGAAGGAGGTCCAGATAGATACTGGTTAACTTTATTGCTTAGTGAAATGATGATGAAACAAAACACTGACATAATTAATATGCAGCAACATGCACATGTTCTGGTATATACTCAGAGAAATTATTACAGCAATGATAAAATAATCACAGCAACAAGAAAATAATTGAACAAAAGAGAAATATTGATTAAAACAACATTTTGATGGACAAAAATGGCAGCATTAGGTTTTTTATAAAACAAAGGTCTGAACTGAAAATATGCAAACAAATAAAAGATATCTGATTCGCTAACTTCTAAACCAAACTTCATAAAATTCTGCATACAATTGGCTCAGTGATTTTTCTCCAAATCTCCTACATGTCAAACATGATGCAATTGGAACCAGTTGATGACATATGTCGGCAATATGTCAGCCAAGTTCTAGCAGTGCTGAAGGCTAAGGGTTAGTTATCTAGTTTGAAAAAAAGACATGGTATGTTTTCAGATTTGAGAGTTTTGTTGAGTATTTGATAAAACAGAAATTACATTTGGAACATACAAGTTTAGCTTGAGGTTTGAAATGCAAACAATTTTGGCATTGACTACTCAATGAAACCTACAAATCTAGAAACATACAGTATGTACTGACATTGTAGAATACAAACATGATCTGTCGTTTTTCAAATTTCTATCTATCTAGGTGACTTTCAAAGTTGTGAGACATGAGAAAGGTCTGGAATGCTATGAGTTCACCATGGTATGTAATAACACCTTGATAGAATGCATGACATCACCATGATCACATGCTTTAGTGATAACTGAGCTCTTCATCAGAAAGTGGGGGGAAAACTTGAAATGCACTGACTTATTCAGTAGACAGAGCAAATCATTTGTATTTCAATAACAATACTGGTCAATCATGTTTCAAATTGTATATAATATCTCTGAGTGTGACCCCCATAATTCATATAAACTGACCCTATATTTTTATGTATGAAGGGTCCCTAATTGTCCTTTTCCAGGCAGAACACCACTTATGCATCTCAGTCAGGTATGACATATATCATTTGAATTGTTGAATCATAACTGACATCAGTCAATACAGACTGCAAGGAAGAAATATTAACCCTTTAGTATGTATGATTTAATACTACAGCTGAGTGCACAGTGTGACAACCCAACTCCACTTATCCATATGATATAACTAGATTACAAGCTGATCAGTTAAATGGCCTCTTTAGGGATACAAAGTTTGAATAAAATATGACTGTAGACAGGTGAACTACAGAGAGCTTGGTATATACACTATATATGATGTGTTGCCCAAAGCTCCACTGACCATGTATATGTGTTGCCCAAAGGTGTACTGATAATACATATGATGTGTTGCCCATAGGTCTACTGATTGTAGGATGTGTTGCCCAAAGGTGTACTGATAATACATATGATGTGTTGCCCACAGGTCTACTGATTGTAGGATGTGTTGCCCAAAGGTGTACTGATAATACATATGATGTGTTGCCCAACTGATAGTATGTGTTGCCCAAAGGTTGATAATATGATGTGTTGCCCAAAGGTCTACTGATAATGTGTGTGCCCATACTGATGATGTGTTGCCCAAAGGTCTACTGATAATTATATATGTGTTGCCCAGGTCTACTGATTATTTGTGTTGCCCAAAGGTCTACTGGTTATTATATGAGATTTTTTGCCCAAAAGTCTACTGATTATATGATGTGTTGCCCAAAGGTCTACTGATAATATACATGTGTTGCCTAAAGGTCTACTGATTGTATATATGTGTTGCCCAAAGGTCTACTGATAATATACATGATGTGTTGCCCATAGGTCTACTGATAATACATATGAGGTGTTGCCCAAAGGTCTACTGGTATTATATAAGATGTGTTGCCCAAAGGTCTGCCCTGGTATTGACAATAATATGATGTGTTGCCCATAGGTCTACTGATTGTAGGATGTGTTGCCCAAAGGTGTACTGATAATACATATGATGTGTTGCCCACAGGTCTACTGATTGTAGGATGTGTTGCCCAAAGATGTTCTGATGATACATATAAGGTGTTGCCAAAAGGTCTACTGGTAATATATGAGATGTGTTGCCCAAAAGTCTACTGGTAATATGATGTGTTGCCCAAAGGTCTACTGATAATATACATGATGTGTTGCCTAAAGGTCTACTGATTGTATATATGTGTTGCCCAAAGGTCTACTGATAATATACATGATGTGTTGCCCACAGGTCTACTGATAATACATATGAGGTGTTGCCCAAAGGTCTACTGGTATTATATAAGATGTGTTGCCCAAAGGTCTACTGGTATTATATAAGATGTGTTGCCCATAGGTCTATTGATTGTAGGATGTGTTGCCCAAAGGTGTACTGATAATACATATGATGTGTTGCCCACAGGTCTACTGATTGTAGGATGTGTTGCCCAAAGGTGTACTGATGATACATATAAGGTGTTGCCAAAAGGTCTACTGGTAATATATGAGATGTGTTGCCCAAAAGTCTACTGATAATATACATGATGTGTTGCCCAAAGGTCTACTGGTAATATATGAGATTTGTTGCCCCCAAGTCTACTGGTAATATGATGTGTTGCACAAAGGTCTACTGATAATATACATGATGTGTTGCCTAAAGGTCTACTGATTGTATATATGTGTTGCCCAAAGGTCTACTGATAATATACATGATGTGTTGCCAAATAGTCTACTGATAATATACATGATGTATTGCCCACAGGTCTACTGATAATACATATGAGGTGTGTTTGCCCAAAGGTCTACTGGTATTATATAAGATGTGTTGCCCAAAGGTCTATTGATTGTATAAATGTGTTGTTGCCCAAAGGTCTACTGATAATATATATGATGTGTTGCCCACAGGTCTACTGATTGTATACATGATGTGTTGCCCAAAGGTCTACTGATGATATATATGATGTGTTGCCAAAAGGTCTACTGGTAATATATGAGATGTGTTGCCCAAAAGTCTACTGATAATATACATGATGTGTTGCCCAAAGGTCTACTGATAATATATGATGTGTTGCCCACAGGTCTACTGGTAATATATATGATGTGTTGCCCAAAGGTCTACTGATTATATGATGTGTTGCCCAAAGGTCTACTGATAATATACATGATGTGTTGCCTAAAGGTCTACTGATAATATACATGATGTGTTGCCAAAAAGTCTACTGATAATATACATGATGTATTGCCCACAGGTCTACTGATAATACATATGAGGTTTTGCCCAAAGGTCTACTGGTATTATATAAGATGTGTTGCCCAAAGGTCTACTGGTATTATAAAAGATGTGTTGCCCAAAAGTCTACTGGTAATATACATGTGTTGCCAAATAGTCTACTGATAATATACATGATGTATTGCCCACAGGTCTACTGATAATATATATGATGTGTTGCCTAAAGGTCTACTGACAATATATATGATATGTTGCCCAAAGGTGTACTTATAATATAGATGATGTGTTGCCCAAAGGTCTACTGATTGTATGATGTGTTGCCCACAGGTCTACTGATAATACACATGATGTGTTGCCCACAGGTCTACTGATAATATATATGATGTGTTACCTAAAGGTCTACTGACAATATATATGATATGTTGCCCAAAGGTGTACTTATAATATAGATGATGTGTTGCCCAAAGGTCTACTGATTATACATATGATGTGTTGCCCACAGGTCTACTGATAATACATATGATGTGTTGCCCACAGGTCTACCGATAATATATATGATGTGTTGCCCAAAGGTCTACTGATTATACGATGTGTTGCCCACAGGTCTACTGACAATACATATGATGTGTTGCTCACAGGCCTACTGATAATATATATGATGTGTTGCCCAAAGGTCTACTGATAATACATATGATGTGTTGCCCACAGGTCTACTGATAATACACATGATGTATTGCCCACAGAGTCTACTGGATAATATATATATAGTG